GCCGGCCGCCCCCCCCAAACTGGAGCCGTGGCTCCCGGCACCAACGCGGTCCTTTCGATCAGTGCCCAGTGGAGAAACTGAGGCTCGCGTCCAGTACCACAAACACCGCCCAAGAGAAAAAAGCAAGGAAACCAATAAATACCTGGTGATGCAGGATGGGAAGTCGCTTGGTGGGGAGGGCGGGCGGTCTGTGGTCGGAAACGGTCTTTCTGAGGACGGGGGCTGAGACCTAAGGATCGGGAGGACGCAGCCTTGACAAGCTGGCGGGGGAGAGGGAGTAGCAGGTGCAAAGGCCCGGGGGAGGGAAGGAGGTGGGGGCAGAGCCAGGTCCTCCCCCATTCTGGGCCCGATAGTCTCTGAAAATGGCAGAGGCAGGCTATTTTTAAATATGATGGTACATAGTGACTGTACCTAGCCTGGCCCGCCATACGGTAAACTCCCAGAGATTGCCACCACCAGCAGACTGGGCTGTCTGCCCTCTGGGACTGTGGCCTCCTAGAAAGCAGAGGTCCCACTGAGAATGGGACCCCAGTCTCTACTTTCTGACTGGGATCTCTCTGAGGGCAGGGGCTCCGTCCCCCACCATAGACCTCAGACATCCAGCGAGCGTCCCTCACACCCGCCTGGGAGGTGGGACTTCTAATTCCCATCTTGCATATGAGAAAACTCAGGGTCACTCATTAAGGTAATCAGCAAACGTACTGAGTGCCTACAGCGGACCAGACAGTTCTAGGCACTGGGGCCCAGCAGGGGACAAAACAGAAAAACTCTCACCCCGGGGTGATGTCTGTGCCCTTGTCAGTAGGTGAGTGAGTGAAAGCATACAAAAGTCCTTACTGAACTTCCGGCCGACAGATTTACTGAGCATCTACTATATGCTGGACATTCTTCTGGGCACCTGGAGCTCATGGATAGATGAAGGAGAACAGATTCCTGCCTTCTCTGAGTTCTGGGGGGATAAGGTCACAGCTTGGTATCTATGGAGTTATTTGCGTGCACAAAGGAAGAGTTTAGGGAGCAGCGATAAAGATTGGCAAGAGGGAACCCATTTCCCAGGGGTGTCTGGGAGAGGCCTCTTTGATGAGACCTGAAGGATGAAGACAAGGAAGCCCTGGGAGGAGAGGAAAAGGGAGATCCTGGGAATGAGTGTGCGTGTGTGTGTGTGCGTGTGCGTGCGTGTGCATGCGCGTTTGCATGTGCGTGTGCGTGTATGTGTGAGGAAGTATTCGATGACTCCCTGTTGCCACCAAAATAAAATTCGAACTCCTCCCTCTCCCCACAAAGCCCTGCCTTCCCTTCCCCGATCCCCACTTCACTTTTGCTCTCATTCATTATGCTCCACTCACACCAGCCTCCTCCCTGTTCCTCCAACTCGCCAGGCACCGTCCTGCCTCAGGGACTTTGCACTGACTGTTCTCTCTCCCTGGAACACTGTCCCCTTGCTTCTCATCATTCAGGTCTCGGCTCAAATGTTACCTCCTCGGAAAAGACCCTCCTGCCATCCATTTAAGCAGCATTCACTCACCTCACCCTGTTATTTTTATATACTACATCCTATTTTTATATACTACATCCTATTCTCTCTCTAGGTCCTAACAGTTCGTTTTATTTTTGACATGATTATGTTTCTTCGTGGGTTGTTATACTCATTATTTGTCTCCGCCTAGTACTGGGCTGTGCGGGGACAGAGCCTCTCTTTGTCCCCGCAGAGCTGGCACACAGTAAGTGCTCAATAAATGAACAGACAGTGGGATGAGAAAAAAACAGCAGATGCAGCTAAAGACAGCGATGACTGGCCACACTCTCGCTGGGAGTTCCAGGGTTCCACAATGCTAGGAGTTTGTGATTTCGGTTAGACGGGGTGGGGGGGGGCGGCTCTATGAAATTCTCATGTCAAAGCTTTTCTAGGCAGCGTTTCCTCCCCTGTCCACTCGCCCTTCTCACGAGGATGGCTCCAAGCTCTGGCTCCACCCTCGGTCCCTACCCTGAGACCCAGCCCTGGGTGCAGCCACCAAATGGGTATCTCCCCTGGACACCCCCCAGGCTGCTAGACGCAGCATCTTCCCCTGACCTGTTAGGCCCCACGGTCCACCTCGATCCCCCAAGACAGAGCATCAGCCTAGCCTCTTCTCCCCCACTCACCTGATGTGCAACTCTGCTTTCCACCCCACAGCACGTTGCCTGCACCAGCCCTCCACTCTCTCCCATCTGGACCTCAAGCCACCTCCCAGCTCTGAGCAGCCTTCGCTCTTGTCACCTTCCATTTGAGTCTGGCCTTCCCTCACTTAAAGCTCTCCCATGGCTCCCTATTGCCCTTGGGATAAATTCCCAGATCTGAGGCTAGCATGGATGACTTTCACTCCCCGGCCTTGCCCAGCTTCACCTGGGCACGACCTCCAGGACTCTCTTCCAAAAGGCATCTTCCTCTCTGCACACACGTTGAACACAGACTGTCTAAAATTGGTAGATAAGTGGATATTTATTCTATAACCACCTCCTCATGCTAGAAAGAACTCAGCCTCAGGCTTTGCTGGGAGGGTTCCCAGGGCGAGTGGGTAGGAACAGAGCTGAGGACACATTCCAGGATGCTAGTAGTGCCAAGACAGAGGGACACACCCAGGGATGAAGGAACCCAGAGCTGGAACAGGGTCTCTGCCTGGTGAGTCCACAGGAGGCTTCCTGGAGGAGGGGACCCTTACCCACCAGTCTTTAGATCTCTCAGCCAGGCACACTCCACAGGGGAGAGTGAATACAGATTTGTGGATTGCCTGAGAAGCCACAAAACCACACACACACACACACACACACACACACACACACACACACACACCCATCTCTTGGTGTGTGTCATCTGCCAGGAAGGAGGAGACGCTTTGCTCTAAGCAGTAGCATCCTGAGCTTGGGAGCAGCTTTGAGAATTTGGGGAGGCGCAGTTGAGAGCAGTCTGTGAGATGGGGGGGTACCCCTAGGAGTTATGTTACTCCATAACTTGCTGAAATACCACATCCAGCCAGAGCAGGAGGCAGGAAAAGCCCTCGCCAAGAGTGAGTTACAGCCTGGGCAGCCCAGCACAACGTTCTCATTTCCCCTAGCTAACTCGTTTGCCACCCAGGGAGCTTCAAGCTCCACCTCTCTGGGCCTCGGTTTCCCCATCTGCAAAATCCAGGCAGAAGCTGCAAAATGGAGGAAGGGGCTTAGCTTCTAAGCTCTCTCCTCCCACTATACAGAAAAGCTCAGCCTAGGGCTGGGGTTTTATGATGTGGATTTTTTTTTTTTTTTTTAAAGGAAAAAGCTGCGAAGCAGCGCTGGGACCTGGGATTGCTCAGACCACCTTAAATCAGCCTCGCCGCCCCAGCTACTGTGGAAATTCCTTTCTCCGCGGTGGTTGGCTGGGCGCGCCAGCCAATCCGCCCGCGGCGCTCCCACATGGGTCCGTGACGTCACAATGACCGTTGACCAATGGGGATCTGGGAGAAGGCAACCAATGGCAGGAGACACTAAGATCGTCCGGGCCAATCGGAAGGCGGCGAGGAGCTCCCAGCGGGGTACGGAGAGTATAGATCCCCCCTCCCTAAGAGAAGCTGAGACCCTCGTGGATGCCCGAACCTGGCCGGAGTGGAGGGGGGATCGGCCCAGTTAGTATCCAGAAACGGAGAAGCAAGCCACGCTCTGAGCCTGGCGGGAGCCCCACGTCCAACAGACTACCTTGCAAAAGCACGGCCAGCCGGCGGGGCCGACTGGGTGCCTTTCACCCTATTTCACCGGTAGCGAAACTGAGGTAGAGAGACATTAAGTCGTGCTAGACCCCCTGGGAGAGGGGATGAGAGTCTCGTCGGAGCCCGGAGGCTCCTAACCGCTCAGTTTTGGTGCCCAGGTGAGATGGGGGAGGGATGAGCCGATGTGTAGGCGAGGGGAGGGGGGTTGCTCGTCCCCGTGCCTCAGTTTCCCCGAACGCGAAAGAAAGAGGATAGGGGAGCAGGGCTTCTCAGTAAGACTACGATCCCCAGAAGCTCGCGCGCGGGCTGTCAATCAAAGTAACGTGGGGCCCTCTCCGGCCCGCGCTCCCCCGCCCGCCGCCTCGCTCCTGCCAGCTCCCGCTCCCTTCCCGCCGGCTCTGGGCCCGGCGCGGTATAATTACAGCCCATTGATCCGACCCGGGCCGGGAAAGCGGCTCCCTCGGGGAGGCCAAGCCTTTGGCTTCCGACATCGCCAACCTCTGCCTACCGCCCCCCCAGCAGAGTTGCTGGGCCACCAGCCAGGCTTGTCCCCTCCTGCCGGTTAAGGCTCGCGGGTGACCTCAGAGCCTCGGTTCCCTGCCACGGTTGGCGGTGAGCCCCCCGGAAAAATCACACACACGTTTCCTTCCCCCCCAGGAATATGGGGAGCCCTCCCGCCATGTTCTAGCGCCCCCCACTGCCTCACGTGACCTTGAGACTCTCGAGGGCCTCTCTCTGGGCCTCAATTTACGAACCTGTATAGTGAGATGGTTGGACAAGACTTATTCATGAAACCAGTGTTTTTTCCTGTCCCACGTGTGAGCAGCCAGGGCTAGGCTATGCTGGGGACTCAAGGAGAGTCCCCAAGTTTGAGGAAGTGAGGGGAGACCTAGCAGAACCCTCTCAACCCCCTGTGGTCAGTGCTGGGGTAGAGGGAGGGGCCAGGGCCAAGCCAAGAGTGAGGCCTCTGCTTGGGAAGTCGGCAAGGCTTCCTAGATATGAGGTTGGGCGGGTGTTGAAATGGGGGTTCTGCGGAATGCATAGGAGTTGCCTCATTTAAGCAGTGCATTTGTATCACCCTAACCCAAAGTGGACAAAGTGGGTCCCTTACGTCCTCCTTCAGGATTGAGGAGCCATGAACTCTGACCTCTGGCCTTGCGGGGTGGACCTCAACATTACCTGGCTGTGAAGTGGGGGGGAGGCGTGCACACCTATGCACTGGCCCCCTCTGCCCACGTTCACCAGGGTAAGTCAGCATAGGCTCAGCAGCAGGAGGCGCTCCAGGCTCTCCCTGGGTAAGAGCTGGGCAGCTCAGGGGAGCAAAGAAGGGGCGACAAGGAGCCCAGTATGGACTTGGGGTTGAGGAAGTGAGACTGATAATAGAATCTTCAAGTTGAGTCCTATAAAGTACTTAACACAATTTATTGTAAATGCTCAGTAAGGGGCAGCCATTTGGACTCCCAGCATGCCCAAAGAGCCCTTCTCTCCCACCCCAGCCTTGCACCCCTCCGCTGGGGTAGGCATTCACTCTCCGTTCCTCTCACACCTTTGATCGCCCATTAGAACGTGAATCAGGTACCATTCTTCCCTCTCCTCAAGCACCTTCCATAGCTCCCCATTACCCTCGGAATAAAATGCAAACTCTCCACTTCTGTCTACACGGTCTGACCCTCCTCTCACCTCCTCCCTCTCTCCCCTTCACGTGCTCCCCTCCAGCCACATGGGTCTCTTGCCCGACCGGACCTTCCAACACACCAGGTGCTGCCTCAGGGCCTTTGCATGTGCTATTGTTGCCTCTGTCTGGTTTCCTCTCCCCATCTTGGATTTAACCATAGCCTAGCAAGACCTGGGCTGGCCACGCTGGCTGCAGTAGTCCCCCACCTCTCGGCCTGGTCAGCCTCTCTCATCTCATTTCTTTCAGAAGCCTTGTGACTCTCCAAATGCTTATGATGTATTTGTTCTTGTGTCTGCTCAGGCCCAACACAGTGCCTGCTCCATGTATTTGTGGGGAGTGTAAAAGGACAAGCGTGCAGGGGGACAGGATCTTGCCCAGATCATCCAACGTGGGGCAGGGCCCCGGGGCCCGTGACAGGCTGCCCAGAGCCAACCCAGCCTGCAGGGCCCTGATGCAGTCTAAGGTCACACTATCCTGATGGCCTGGGTTCAAATCCCAATTTGACTATGTTACTGCGATTCTGTAAAATGAGGGTTATGATAGGAACTTCTCCATCCCATTGTCATGGGATCAGATAGCTCAATAGATGAGCTGGCTTAAGCTATTACTGTGTGGGCCTGTGTGGGGTGGGGGTGGGGCTGGAGCGGGCACCAAAAGGCATCCCTGTTTTTAAAGCCTCCGGGGTCTCCTGGTCATCACTTCTATCTATCCCAGACTCCACCCCACCCACGCCCCTCCATCCCAAGTCTGGGCCTCACTCTCCGTACCTTTTGTCCTGGCATCCTCGTGAGACCCCAGACTGGCCCAGTCCCTGGAAGACACTGGGTGTAGGTGAAACAGACCATGCCCCACTATGGTGAATCTTACTCCTCCAGCTTCCGGTTTATGCTGAGACCTTTCATCCTCCCTGGGTCTCAGTTTTCTCATCCGGAAAAGGGGCTAGCCCTTGATAATGGTAACTGTCGCAGTTATTATTCCTGGGCTAGCTGGTTTATTCTCGACCTTGTGTTTGATGGTCACTCCGCCTCCAAGTAGCGGCTGAGGACCCCCGCAGCCCAGCAGCCAGCCCTGCCTCCAGGCTTCTGTCCTAGCGGGTCCTAGCTGGTCCCTCCGGTCCCTCCCCCTCCACCTGAAACACCCTCCTTGGCTGCAGCCATCTCCTCCTGCATGGCAGGCTCCTTCTGTCACCCAGGTCTCAGCTCAAATGTCACCTCCTCAGAGGGGCCTCCTATCTTCTGTCATTCTGTCTCCTGCCCCTCCCTGCCGGATTTTTTTTTTTTCCTAGCAGTTGACTGTTCTCTGAAATTACCTTATTTGCTAGTTTATTTGTTGTTTGTCTGCCCCAGACACAGTGGGCTCCGTGACGGTGGAGAAGGGTCCACATCAGGTCTCTGGGCACCCAACACAGCGGCTGGCACGAAGCCGTATATTCCGGCTGATGGTCAGTCTGGCTCAGAGATGCCTAGAAACTTGTCCAAGGTCACCCAGCCTCGCGCTCTCCAGGTGGGCGACCTGCGGCTGCCATTCAGGGGCCCCGGGGTCACCTGCTCACGGTGTCCCAGGCCCAGCCTGGCAAAATGCCAGTTTGCCCGCCCCCTCCTCCCCCGCAGCCAAGATTACCCAGGAGCCGGCCTAGCCCGTTACCCAACAGGCGGGGTGAGGCCCAGCGGGGGACCGGAGCGCGGGCTCCGCCCCTCCCCGCGCCGGGATCCGAGAGGCGGAGAGGGGAAGACGAGGGGGAGAGGGGAGGAGGAATGGAGGGGGCAAAGCGGGAGGAGGCGGCGGGGAGGGCGAGGAGGGGGAGAGGGCGGAGGGTCAAAGG